GTAGACTGGGTACTCTTGAAATTAATTCCCTTTTTCTCGGGCCATTCCTCTTTTTGGCTATCCTTCCTCCTCTCTGGCTACAGGAAATTCTGAAGGAGGGGGTAAAAATGTTTGTAAATGAGACACCCCCCCCCCAAAAAAAAGGGGGGGGGGTCCCAGAAATTTTGATTTCTAAATGACTGGAAATGTCACTTTGTTGACTTCTGAGGTGTATTATTAATGGCTTTTAATTTCCTCAAAATTCAAGGTTTTTCTCCTCATAAAAACAATCAGGCAAAAGCAGGATATGATTTGATAGAGCCAAAGTAGTGGGGTTTAGTCCCAAAAATTGGCATGATACTTCAAATTTGAGTAGAAGCATGAAACTTATGTATGTCAACTCACATTTTCCACTATTTTCATGTTTGTAGGACGTATCCATTTACTTACTACATTTACATCTACAGTACATAGGAAGAAGCAAAGTGACCAAATTCTTCAGTAATTAGCAATGCAGTAGCACAGAGAATTCTATTTGGGATCAGTGCATTTGTCCGAATGTCAAGTTGTTTTTTTTTTTATAGTTTTTCCCCCGAACTAAGCTCAGACTGAAATTCCTTGATATCATACTTCTATTCTAGCAGGTGGACCCACTAAATGTTCAAATAAGTTGGAAAAATATTTGGTATTACATGTATATTTCAACCAATATAATAGTCACATAAACGTCACACAATTATTTCATCAAAACACTATGGGATATGTCGTTATTTTCCCGGCTTACAGCGGTGAACATGTATAATAGGGCTGGCATAGAACGAAAATATCTCTTAAAGTATTCAGTTTTGGGTACATGTTCCTATTAAAGTTGAATAGGAAGTAGTACTTCTCCATCATTTTCCACTATTTTTATGTTTGAAGGACGTATATTTTTCTCGAGTTATAAGGAATCGGAATTTTTCTGAGGTCAAAGGTCAAATCTGAAACGCTCTCAAATCTTAAAATTGTTGAATTGCCGATGTGAGTTTGTATACCAAGTTTCATGCTTCTATCCCAATTTGAAGTATCAAGGGTCTAAGGAACCCCACTAAAGGGGAAATGACCCAAAAAAGAGCATTTAAATGCAGGAGTATCAGAAGCTAATGTGGGCCTAGACGTATCACACATAACCTCTGCTATACTCAGACTGTCATCAGTCCTGTTGATCTGTATTTAAGAAATGAGGCCTGTATAGGCATACTGTAGAACAAAATTATGCTCATGAAAATGTTTGAATTTTCGGTCAAATAATTAAAAAAATGTATCTTCGTATTCCTATGCTCTTGGAAGAACAATAAATACAACATAGAAGACAATACTAAATAATGTTTGCCTTTTGTATTATTCTATTACTAGCTGTGTACCCGTCCTTCGGACGGTGGTAATCAAAGCAAACTAAACGCAAAAAACTGATTACAAAAGAGTATTTCATATCGTGAAAACAGTACAGTATTTCATATCGTGGCGCTATCGAATGAAATAGATTAGGCACTGATGAACAGTCTTCAATCAATTTAAGTATTTTCAAGAACCACATATGTATTAATCATTGAAAGCAAAGTATAATAGTATGAACATTGTACAAATCACTAATTTAATGTTTATTTGCTTTGTTTTATATACATTTTACAATTCTTTTTCGTAATTTAAAGTTTACTTTTGTGGAGTGGATTTTCTTCATTTCGATAATTTATTTTTGCCATTTGTTAGGTATAGATTACTTTTATTTTATTAAATTGTTGACTTTCTCTCTACATTATTTAATTTGTGTGTTTAACTTTTGCTTTTCTGATTATGTACCGTACTGTGTAATCTATGTTAATTGTAAGTAAGGTACGTTATCTCACGACCACAATAAAAAACAGCATTATATTTGTTGATTTGTGCTTCGTGAATAAATAAAGTTTTACTAGGCCTACTACATATTGGTGCTCTAGTTGTCATCGTTGGTGTTATGGCGGACTGAAATAAAAACTGAACGTCTGTGTTCGTAGCTGTCGTCGTCGCCATCATCATCATTCTCGTTAGCTGAATCAATGTCATTAAAGAATTGAAAGTCATAATCATAATTCTTATTAGCAGAATCAATGGAAGCATTCAAACAATTAACAGAAATATTTGTACATTACAGATCAAGCCTGTGAATATTCAATAATCATTGTTTTATTATTTGGGTGGGCATAAAAGTATTTTTAATGTATTTGTTTCTTAAACATTTCAACATACAGCAGGGGCTGCTCAAGATTTTTTCAATGTGAAAATTCAGTGAAAATTTGGTTGAAATCGGCTCAGTAACAAAGGAGAACATCCCGGACACAAAAACCCCAATTTGCCTTTTATAGATTATAGCCTCCATATAGATGCACCACTCCTATGTGTTCCATCGATGTAAAGGTGTAATTTCCAAAATAAATAATTATAAATAATGTTAGATGCAGTTCAGTAGATATTAGATGTTATACGTATAGTGAATTGGTGGCGCTATACAACTTGGTTTACGATGGTCATGATGCTATTACACGTGGTGCTTTGACACAATTTTACCGTGAGTGGTATAATCGTGTCATTACGCGTAGTAAGTGTTAAGGCGGTTCAACTGTGACATAATTACTACACGTACTACGTAGTACGTGTACTACATGTAGTACGTGTAGTATTATGACACAGTTGAACCGCCATATAAAAATGTTCACAGTATGTAACTCAATTCAAATATAGGGCCTAACACTTTTTCATTATTCGTGCAGCGAAATCAAATAATAGGCCTACATACATTATATTATACGATGGCCCACAAGGGACACACTGCAAACAAATAAGAAATGCTGCAAACAAAAAAGAAATGATGCAAACAAAAAAGAAAACGCGCTGCAAAAGAAAGAAACGCGCTGCAAACAAAAACAGAAACGCGCTGCAAACAAAAACAGAAACGCTGCAAACAAAAAAGAGAACGCGCTGCAAACTAAACAGAAACGTTGCAAACAAAAAAGGAAACGCTACAAACAAATAATGACTCTCTCTTCAAGCAATTTGTGGGCGTATGGTGTGCCAAAAACTGGCCGAGATAGTAAATTAAATATCAATCACATGCAATGATGTCTTAAATACATCAAACATTTTTATTGAAAATATGATTATTTATAATATACTATTATTCAAAATTAACCAAAAGTGCTAAAATTTCTTTATAATCTTAACGAACCAAATACAATGGTAAATCATTGAGTTTCGGCAATAATTTCAACATTATTTTCTCTAATCGTCTATGAAACCGACAGTCGGGTCTGATTTATATATCACCTAGTAACGGTTGTACTCGCACAAGCCATCCAAGATAGATTATCGGCGGCCTTTTATAGAAAAGTGGTGCGCCACCAACGAACAAGTAGAGTTTGGGCGCTCGCGCACGTCAACTCAAGAGAGACGGAATTGGTTTTGAAAAATGGCGACTTTCTAGGCTAGGCCTAGGCTATAGTGGGAGAGAGCAAACTAGCCCCTAGTCCTAAATTAAAACTGAGATCATTCAAGAAGTAAAAGTGATGCATTATTGTAGATTTTGTGGTATAGAGCTGTCTAGGCCTATGCCTATCACAAGTGTTTGTGAAAAATGTGCTTTTGATATGGATGTCAACAAGGCAATAACAAATGAAAGAGGTTATTCGCATGGTACCGTGCGAATTAGGAATAAGAACTTATTCGTACGGTAGGACAGCCGTTACGTCATGAAACCTTAAATGCTGATTGGCTAAGTCTACCGTGCGAATAAGACTGATAAGAGCTAATTCGCACGGTACCGTGCGAATTGTCGAAACAAATTTATTCGCACGGTAGAATGTTGGATAGAAATACTGTATGATAATTATTTCACGGCATACCGTATGAGTTGGGCACAGCACAGACAGTCGATTCGATAACCCTAACTGAAGTGCAATAGGTCCTAGCTTAGCATTGTGTCTGCAGACTTTTTACTCTTCTCTTAAGCTATCCTTGAGAAATTGGCATGAAAAAAGCGTTTGTGGAGTATATGTACTGGTAGTATTATAGTCCCCTATCATAGGGCCTAGTAGTGATGTTGATTTTTGTTCCATTCAAAAATACTAAATGGGGAAACAAAAGAAAATTAATTACTTAGCACCAACCATGATGGGAATTGGAACAGAGGAGGATGAGTGGATGCCAAATTGATGCAAAATTACTCGATTTTATGTGCAGTTTTAATTTTGTGGGCTGCAGTCGTGCTGCACTTAGCCCACCTGTAGACTCGCACATCTCTAAAAGTCTTTCCTAATCCCTCTCTACCATAATAAATCTGGATCCGCCACCGAATATATGTACTGGAAAATAAGATTGATGTACATTCTTCACTGCCTTTTTTACCTTTTCCAATGTGTGGGAGTGTTTCTACTGGATACATTGATTGTAGGCCTAATTATAATTATCTACACAAACCACATAACGCTCAGAGACCATAGGAGCTGTGATAATTGTCGAAAGATTGTTGTATGTACAGTAATCTACAACAAGGTTATTTTCGTCCTGAAATTTCTTTAATGATCAACAAATAAATTGTACATAGTCACTAAATACCTGACCGACCTTCATTGAGATCAGGCTTTCTTGGCTGCTTCTGTGATTGTGAACACTGCCAAAAGCCAAACAAAGAAGAAAGCTTTTATTGGCGCTTTTTTAAAGACAGTGTCATTACATTCTATGATGCTGATTGGCTACGTCTACCGTGCGAATAATGTATTATTTACTATTTACACGGTAGACAATGTTTGTATGATATCTGAAAAGGTATTTCGGTTCGATTAGGTATTCCGCAACAAATTGAGTAAGTTTCTCTTAAAATATTTAGGTCTTTTGAGACGATGTACCGTGCTAATTGGGAATAAGAACTTATTCGCACGGTTAGACGTAATGAAACGTCAAATGCTGATTGGCTAGATCTACCGTGCGAATAAGACTCATACGAGTACACGAAAACGACCATATTATGATTCAGATTATGGAGCTTCATCATTATTTGAGTGTAAAGAAGAGGTAAAACAAACCTTTTGTTCAATTTAAACTTTTCCCAAATTCACAATGCAATAAACCTCTACTTTCATAAGATAAGAAGATATATTTGATAGTGTGGATAGAGCTTTAGAGTAAATATAAACATGATTTTGAGTAATTCCCTTCCAAAGTTATTTGTGCATACATTGTTTAATAGAATTGACTATTAAAATAACGTTAAATAAACAATTTGTTGACCGTTTCCAATACTTTGGGACATGTTTATTAAGATATTAAATGTTGATTTATACTATAGTATTAGTTGATTTTTAGGAATTTTTTTGATCTCAAATATTTTAAAACTCATTTACTCAATACTGGCCTGTGCGACAATTTAACCATTTTGCCATGACTGGCCTCGTATAAAATAACAGACCTTTCCTGTCTTTAACCCTAGGAAAAAATCATGATGTACCCTTGGGGTAGTGCATTTGAGAAAGAAGCTTATAGTATAGATGTATTTAAATGTGTATGAAGGTCACTTCTCCAAAAAATTGTTTTACAGTTTATGCTATTTGTCATTGTTGTCTAGCTTGATACAAGTCTATCTGCTACAAACCGGCCTGCTAGAAACCACCTTGCCAGAAACTGTTCTGCTATCAGCCAGTCTGCTACAAGCAATTCTGTCGAAAACCTGTCTGCTTCAAGTCAGCCTGCTACGAGCCATCTTTCTAGAAATCAGCCTGCTACAAGTCAGCCTGCTACAAGCCATCACTCAAGAAACCAACCTGTTACAAGTCAGCCTGCTACAAGCCATCCTTCAAGAAACCAGCCTGCTACAGGTCAGTCTGCTACAACTCAGTCTGATACTATTACTAGCCAATCTGCAACAGATCAGCCTGCCATAAGCCAACCTGTCCTAAGCCAATCTGAAGGTATTAGTTAAAAAAATTTATTCATGCCCATTCATTTGCCAAATCTTTTGAATCATATTATTATTATATTGGTCACAAGTTTTATTAGTATTTTATATCTAAGTAATACATGCAAATTAAGCTTTATACATAAATCCACCTTCAGTGCATACGTTTTATTCATAGCTTATTTATTTGAATCTGGTTATACAGCAGCTACTATCAGAACATATGTGGCTGGGATTGGTCATTTTAATCAGTTTAAAGAGTTTGCGGACCAGGCGAAATCCTTTTTAGTAAAATTGGTTTTGCGTGGGGTGAATCAATGTGCATCATCAAATGATGTGAGGCTTCCATTTACATTACCAATTCTACATGCCGTTGTCAATGCACTGTCACTGGCAGTTCCTTCAAGATATCAATGTGCCATGTTTAAGTCACTCTTTTTGTTATGCTTTTATGATTTTCTAAGAGCCAGTGAAGTTTCACGGTGTGGCTCCAGCAATCACACTTTAAATTTTGAGGATATTGTGTTAAAAGAAACGGTAGCAGAACTTCATTTTCGGTCATTTAAAAACAACCAGTCAGGTAGGCCGGTTGTTCTCCTTCTCACAAAGAATGGTTCTGAATATTGCCCAGTTGAGTCCTTTAGGATGTTTTTATAATTCGTGGTAATTACAAGGGCCCGCTTTTTCGTTTGATCCAGGACGGCCATTGTCATACGCATATTTCCGTCAGGTTTTGGGGCAAGCAGTTTCATTGGCAGGATATTCTTCGAATCATTATACTATGCATAGCTTTAGAATTGGGGCTGCAAGCGTTGCTGCACCGTCGGGCTTTTCGGACGAAAATATCCAACACGTGGGTAGATGGAGATCTAATGCGTTTAAACCCTATATCCAGTTGCCATCTATATTCAAGGTGGTTGGTAATAATCCTGTATAGGGAGGTGAAATGCATGCTTGCGGCTTATATTTTTCTGCTATTATTAACTTACTGAGATTCAGACTTGAGGTTACGAATCCGGTCGGTTATAGGTTATTGTGTATTGTTCTTGTTATAACTCAATGATAAGTAAATGATTCGGACTTGAGGTTACGATTCATGTTGTTTACATTTTCATAAATTTCGGGGTTTGAACTTGAGGTTACAAATCCATTTTGTTGTATTGATGTTCGGTTTAGACTTGGACTTGAGGTGACAAATCAATTTGGACATTATATTATATTATGTACTCGTTCTTGTCAGAGAGGTACTCTGGTTATTGACATTGTAGTCATATTAGCTTATACGGCTACAGTACATATGATTTAGGGAACTGTTGTAACATAGTAGAAATAATAGAGTTGTTTTCAAGTTGAAGGTTACCCTTCGGTGAATTTAACCTAGATGTCAGTTGTTCGGTAGAGTTGTTTTATGGGACTTCGGCTTGTTTCTTATGGGGGTTGATTTTAGCTTCAGGAAGCTAAAATGTGAGTGTTTTGTTTTCCCCATATTGGGCCCAATTTGGGGCAGATTGTTATTGATTACTTGTCGTGAAATAAAGGGCCATGGAAATGTCTGGTTCCTTCCTGGCCCCAACCGAGTTCAACAAGCCGAAGTCTAATATAATAAGTCATTAAGTAAATAAGATTTAATTAATATTATATTAGCGCAGGCACCTTACGCCTATCTGTACATGCGGAGTAATATGGTTTAGGTCAGAGGTCATGCCTTTCTGTTAGAGTGTATCCTAGCTACGAGACGCTCTCTGACAATGAATATGGCGCCAGTTCAGACAAGAGGTGTCTCTCTAAACTTTTGGTTAAATTTATCCCACCTCCACCCCTGTTTACTCCGCCTACTTAATTATTGATTAGTATGTAGTTATTGGGGTGTTTTGTTTTCCCTCATATTGGGCCCAGTTTGGGGCAAATTGTTATTGATTACTTGTCGTGAAATAAACGGCCATAGAAACCCATTACTGTGTTTGTCGTTTCTATGCCTGGTTCCTTCCTGGCCCCAACCGAG